CCCAATTTTTTTTTTTTTTTTTGCAAAGCCTCCATATGTTCCTTTTGCCCTGGATTTCTCTTTTTAAAACTATTGGCTAGTTCTTCTAGAGTGATTTCACTCCCTGTTACAATTTGTGTACGTCAGGGTTCCTCGGGCAAATGCATTTATGCTACAATTCCTTTTATACGTGGAAAGATTCCCATCATTATTGTTTTTCGAGCTCTATATAATCTAATTGTCAAGGAGATAGTGCAATATATTTGCTGGGATGGTAATGGCACTGAAATGATGGAGTTGTTACGTCCCTCTTTGGAATTCGTGATACAAAATCAAGAGGTACTTTTCATGATGTCTTTGCTAAAGATGTGATTCTTTAAATTGACAATTTCAGTATCTTTTTTCCGAGTATATGATTGAGGTTTCTTTCGAGACTAAAAATTCAGTGTTACAACGATTATCTTCATTCCAGCCTACTAATGCTTTTTCTCCTACTCTTTTTTGGTACTCATTGAGTTTAGTTACCTAATTTTACTAGGTTGCTTTGGACTATATTGGAAAGAGAGGGAAACCTTGTAGTGCCTTTAGGAATGAGAGAATTCGGTACGTTTTTTTAATTGCCCAACTCGGACACTATTCTTCATGTGACCTGTCAGAAACCTAAGGATATCTCAATGTGTTGCAGGTATGCGAAAGAGATTCTTCAGAAAAAAATGTTTCCTCATGTTGGAGTCGACGAGAATTGCTGGAAGGATAAAGCATATTATTTTGGGTACAATTTTTGGGTCTTTATGTGGAACATATTTTTGAGTTGTGCGAGCATTAGGTTTTCGAAGGTTTGTTAGAAACCTTTGTCACTAACAAACCTTTGAAATCACTCTATTAGTTCCTCGTAGAAACCTTTGTCACTAACAAACCTTCAAAAACCTAATGCTCGCACGACTCAAAAATATGTTGCAGATAAAGATCCAAAAATTGTACCCAAAATAATATGCTTTATCGTTCCAGCAATTCTCGTCGACTCCAACATGAGGAAACATTTTTTTCTGAAGAATCTCTTTCGCATACCTGCAACACATTGAGATATCCTTAGGTTTCCGACATGTCACATGAAGAATAGTGTCCGAGTTAGGCAACTAAAAAAACGTACCAGATTCTCTCATTCCTAAAGACACTACGAGGTTTCCCTCTTTCCAATATAGTCCAAAGCAACCTAGTAAAATTAGGTAACTAAACTCAATGAGTACCAAAAAAGAGCACGAGAAAAAGCATTAGTAGGCTGGAATGAAGATAATCGTTGTAACACTGAATTTTTAGTCTCGAAAGAAACCTCAATCATATACTCGGAAAAAAGATACTGAAATTGTCAATTTAAAGAATCACATCTTTAGCAAAAGACATCATGAAAAGTACCTCTTGGTTTTGTATCACACCTGCTTCTTCCAAAGAGGGACGTAACAACTCCATCATTTCAGTGTCATTACCATCCCAGCATATATATTGCACTATCTCCTTGATAATTAGATTATATAGAGCTCGAAAAACAATAATGATGGGAATCTTTCCACGTATAAAAAGTATTGTAGCATAAATGCATTTGCCCGAGGAACCCTGACGTACACAAATTGTAACAGGAAGTGAAATCACTCTAGAAGAACTAGCCAATAGTTTTAAAAAGAGAAATGCAGGGCAGAAGGAACATATGGAGGCTTTGCAAAAAAAAAATAGATTGGGATGGGAGCTGTTAAAGTAGCTATTTTGATAAGTAGTTTTAACGAAGACAATCTTTGGGTAGTTGAAGGCACACAGTCACAGATAAACATTTGCAATAATGCTATTTCTGGTTTGATGATTTTTTTTTGGCTCAATGGCAACAGTTATTTGTATTCCACATGAGTTCTGAAGCATATTCAGGTGATGAGAATAATTTAGAGTGCAAGATTCCTTCACCCACTCTCTGCAGACATAAGAACTTATCCAATGTAATATGTGTCAATACCAGTGTTGTGAAGACCGTGAAGCGAGAAAAAGCGACAAGCCCCTTTTCTCTTAAAGCGTGAAGCAAAGCGCTCGCTTTTTTGAAGTGAAGCGGAATTAAGAAAAATATTAAAATTAATACTGCATAGACAATACATGTTACACATGTAACTGCCAATTTTAAAAAAATTGGCAGTGAGACTAAGAACAAAAGATAAAGAACTGAAGGGAAAAGAAAAATTGGCAGCATTTTGCTGCAATTTTAAGGACTTAAAACGAAAATAAGAAGAGAATGAGTAAAAGAAGAAGAATTGAAGGGGAAAAAAATTTGGCAGCATTTCGCTGCTATTTTCAGCACTGAGAAGAAGAAGAAAAAAACATACCTGGGCTTGAAAATTGAAACCCTAGTCGCTGCAAACATACCTGGGCTTTAAAAATGAAACACTAGTCCCTGCTTGCTCTGCTGCTCGCTGATTTTGTAAAAAAAGACTGAGCTTTTTTATTTATTAGTGACTTAAAAGACTAAAGCGAGCGCTTCCGTCGCTTCTCGCTTCGCTAGCGCTTCTCGCTTTTTTGGCAAAAGCGGACGCTTCAACCTACCTGCTACGCTTCACCCTACAGAAGCGACACAGTGGCCGCCTCGCTTCGCTTCACGCTTAAAGCGCTGAAGCGAACGCTTTTCACAACACTGGTCAATACTAGGGTGCTCAATCAATAGTCAGATGGAAGCAATGAGAAAGAGACTTACATGCTGGTGTTAAGGATCTCCATGATCATATGGAGTTCAAATGGGTCAAGGAATGCAAAATGATTGTTGTTGATGATTCAATATGGCAGACCTACATTAAGATAAGCCCTGATGCTAGATTGGTTCATGGACGGATGATTAGGAACTATAATGAACTCTCTTTATCTTAAGTAATGAAGAACTGAAATCTCTGGAAATAGTGTTGATATGATTTGAATTGGACTCTACGCAACGATGCATACGCCGAACTAGCAAATGAAAATCAAGGAGATAGTAGGCTTGTAAACATACCCTTTTTTCTCTAGTCTTTGATAGCATCCACACATACATAGTAGTCGGAGGACGGTCCTGCGAGTCGACCACGGAACGCACGTCAGCAACAAACTCAAATCTATTCCCGTTGACTCTTCTGGAATACACCGACATGGTTGGACCTCGTCCTCTCCTGAGCTATTACCACCCTCTCACAGCCATTCACGATGAAGTATCCACCTTCATCATATGGACACTCTCGATTTCGAATTTTTCCTTTTGTCCAAGCCCCATCTTACACGCAATCACGTGATCTAAGCATTATGGGAACCTAACAAGATTGATAAGTCAGTAAATTAACAACAAACTACGGGTTATACTTGTAATGAATGGTTGGCAAGCTAGATAATTTTACCTTCCCAATTAGGACTTGTTCATAGTCTTTAGTCTCAGTTACTTTACAACCATCAAGCCCTTGCATGATGACTTTCTTTGTGATATTCGCATACAAGGGCAACGAAAAGGTCAAGTTCCGGCACCTCGCCATCATTGGATTTAGTTTAATAACGGAACCATCAAAGTCTGTCACTTTCCAATCCACTAGGAGAAAAATTCGACGAAATATGACCTTGTGGATGGCCTACATAGAAAAAAATGTTAGTTAAGATAGTTCAAGAATAACTAAATCCTTATAATATTTTTAGTAACAAATATCATCCTTTAAGTTTCACAAAGTTAACAATATTGCCCCCACTGTCAGTGATAAGGAAGCACACACATGTGATTAAAAATATATATTCCAAACAACAATGAAAAATGTACTAAGTTCTAACCTCCGAATTGCTAACTTCTATATCTGAATGATGTGCGATTTGTGGCAGACTGTCGATGAAATTATTGAAGGATTCTATTTGTTGATTCACCAATCCATTGCTTTTGAAGTAACGTTGGATGACTTCCCAACTCTCATGTTCTGTGATCTCATCATCCATTGTAACAAACACTCTGTGTAATGGGTGAGAGAGAATAGCGATGAACATAGGGCTGAAACTGCAGATTATAACTATCTCTTCCCTCTTAATCTAATCGTGCATAATGCACTTTCAATATAATAGGTCCCGTTTGGCGATAGATATTATTTCAAATATTTGCAAATTAGTATTTGGTTCACAAATTTGGTATTTTAACTTCAAGTGAAATAGAGAATTTGAAGTCTGAAAAACTAGTTCGGGAAGAATTTCAATTGAAATAATGGTTTTCACTCACAAACACTCAACTTTCTTTCCAAGAAGAGTGTTCTATTTTTTTCATGGACTCTATTTATAGATCACGGGTTCAAGCCGTGGAAGCAACCACTAATGCTTGCATTAGGGTAGTCTATCTACGTCACACCCTTGGGGTGCGGCCCTTCGCTGGATCCCTGCGTGAACACAGGATACTTTGTGCACCCAGCTGCCCTTTTTTCATCTAAATTGTTTGTTAAGGTTCCAGAAAAAGATAATGACCGAGGAATCTGGAGTTCAAGTTCCTGTCATTTTCTGCTTACTGTAGTCATCTGCCCAATATCAAAGAAAGATACCTTTGTTCCGAGGATCAAAAGAGAGATGAACCATAATAAAAGGATGTATGAATAAGAAACTATGTTTTGGAGGGTTTCAACTTTCAACTGCACTTCACTATATATGGATGTATATATTTTCCTAGATTTAGGGTTTTACGCCTTGGATGGCTTCTCTTATTTGTTGTTTTGAGAAGCAGAGATCTGAAACTTTAATGCGAAGAGACTCAGTTAACCGTCCATATTAGTTCAGGGCATAAGCACCTGATTTTTCTAGTTTTATGTGTTGGAAAGTTGCAGGAATGATCTATTAGAGGGGAGACCATTCTGATTAACCATATGGAGCTACTTTGGTTTTCTTTGTGTTTCTTCTGTAACTCCTTTTTATTGTCGCCTTATGCAGTAAGCTTGTCATCCTCTGTCTATAGATTGTTTCGTGTACATTTCATGCATATATTGCAGTCAACTCATGAGTCAAAGCCATAGCACAGTGACACTGTTCTTCTTTTAGAAACTCAAATGATTTATGTTATTATCAAGATCGATTACAATAGGATCACAGTTATCTGTACTAATTACTTATACAGCTATTTACTTAGTTTCTCAATTAAATTTCTATATGTAACTTAGAGCTGCTTCCTACTTTGCCGAAAACATGTAACTGAGTGCCTGCTGTTTGCCCAATAGCTTCTTGGCAGGAGTAGTGGCTTTCAAGTGGCGCCAACTCATCGTCCATGTACAAAAGGTATTTGGTTGTGGAGTGCACCTTTAAGGAGAACTGCTCTTGATGGAACTGAATACAACCTGTTACTATTGGACACAGAAGGAATTGATGCTTACGATCAAACGGTTAGTTTCGACCCTTTAACATATTTATTATTGGGGCTTTGAAGAAGGAATAACCTGCATACTGATAAGTGTCAATATATTTACTACTTACTCACCTGGCACATGCTATATGACTTATATACTTTATTCTTATTCATTTGGTGTTGCTAAACTTTTCACTAGCTGAAGGAACTAGTTCCACAATCCAAGAAAATGTCTTATTTTTTCCTGTGTCCTGTCAATGACTGTCTTTTGCCTTTTGTAAATTTCTGTTTTGTTTTGCTGTTTGACAGGGAACATATAGCACACAGATATTCTCCTTGGCGGTCCTTCTTTCAAGTATGTTTGTATATAACCAGGTAAGGAGCACTCAATCATGGGTCTTGTTCGCTTTTTTTGATATGACCTTCTTGTTAGACTGTATACCGTTTTCCCGTCATGATTCAGTGAATTTGTACAGTTTGTTTTTTTGGTGTCTTCATAATCTCTTTAATCCCTTAATTTAGATGGGTGGTATCGATGAAGCTGCACTTGACCGCCTCTCTCTTGTCACTGAAATGACTAGACATATTCGTGTTAGAGCCTCTGGAGGAAGGGCCAGTGCGTCTGAGCTTGGACAGTTCTCCCCAATCTTCGTTTGGTTGCTTAGGGTAATTCTGAATTTATTTATTTATATTTCTTCTGTGCTTGCTTGTGTAACTGTTAACCTATATTTTTTCTCTCTGCAAAAGGATTTTTATTTGGACTTGGTTGAGGACAACTGCAAAATAACTCCGCGGGACTACCTTGAACTTGCTTTGAGGCCAGTTCAAGGTGGTGGGAGGGATGTTGCTGCCAAAAATGAGGTATATACTTTCCATTAGTGTTCTCTTTTGCTTTACTATGCTGTAATTAATCAATTTCTATTATAACCATCCCTCTTTAAACGACTGGTTCCCTGAACTTTCACGTCTTTTACTTGTCAGAGTAAAACAAGAATGTTTTTATGTATCCTGAAAGCATCCCTTTTTGTCTTCTAATGAGCTAGCGGTAGATTGGGTAACCATTTGGAACTTCTGACTGCAGATTAGGGAATCCATTCGTGCTCTTTTCCCTGACAGAGAATGCTTCACCCTTGTGCGGCCTTTGAGCAATGAAAATGAGCTTCAACGGCTAGATCAAATACCAGTCAGTGCTTAATACTCTTTCATATATTCCATTCTCTACTATCATAGATTCTATCTAATTGTGATTCTGGTTGCGGAAACTCTTTAAATATTCTAATTGTGGTGCCAATTTTCACTTGCAGTTGGAAAACATGAGGCCAGAGTTTAAAGCAGGTCTTGATGCTTTGACAAGATTTGTTTTTGAGAGGACAAGACCCAAGCAAGTTGGAGGGACTATTATGACAGGACCGCTCTTTGCTCGTATAACTCAGTCCTTCCTGGATGCTCTTAACAATGGTGCAGTGCCTACCATCACCTCTTCATGGCAGGTTAGTTATGTTCTTAATGGCAGATATACTGCCTTTTCCTTTCCACATCAGACGTTCTTCTCTGTATCTGCTCAGTTAGTGTGGCCAATAGTAACATTATTCTTTTCATCACCAACACCTTTGACCCAATAGAGTGACAAAAAAGAAACCGCTGATCATTGTTTCACGGCTGTTACTCAATCCTTAATTAGATTGACTTTTAGCACCAAGAAAGTGGCCCTGAACAGAAAGAACAAGGACTAATAGAGGTCTTAAGTCTAGGTCGTATAGCCTTATACTAGAGAAAAACTATTGGAGAAGGTAAGCAAGATCTTTTACAAGGCACCTAACTAGTCCCAAAGAGAATTTCTCAGAAGCAAAGTCTTAGAAGAAGAGTTGCAGGTCCTCTCCTGTAAAGGTTGGTTATTTCTTAACGAGGACTCAGCACCATCAAGATACTATTTAGTTATTTAAGTATAAATATTTTTGGGATAAGGTAATAAATTTAAGTGAAGAAGGGCAAAAATCTGCCTGTATACAAGGAGTATACCAACAAGTAGAAAACCTTACAAAAGGACATGGTTTTCTACGAATGACACCCAATCTTCTATACAAATAGGTACCTCATGTGTGCATCAAAAGTAAATAAGGGGATATAATCTTATAGACATCTTAAATATACTATCAGAATATGTCAATTACTATTAAGAAGATATTTTACCAATTAAGTTAAGATCACCATAAATATCCATAGTTCCAGATTACATTTGAAAAGTTATTAATCTAACTTAGCATCACACCTCAATAAAATGTCTCAATATAAGAGTTTTCTTAGGGAGGCTACTCGTTCTTCTCTTCTTAGAGATTCGTCGAATATGTTCTTAGCCTTATGAATTTGGAATTTAATTTTGTAATTTCTTGCTATTGCATGAGATTCACTGCCTCTTTGTTTCATCATTATGGCTCGAATTGTTACGCTGGGGAACAACTGGCGCATTTGGTTCTGTTTGGTGTCCAGTTTCAAGGACATGAAGTTTCGAAATTAAAAAGAAAGTTTATAGTCTGGACACCGACTGATGTCTGATGAGCGTCATGCAAATGTTAGATATCTGACATGATATCAATATGTAACCATAGCTTTGGTGTCTGGACTGGGCAAGTTCTTGCATGTTCTTATTATATTTACCATGCTTCACGCACAAGTGAATTAGTCATCTTCAGAATTGCTATGATATTCACTCTTCATTTTTCATTTAAGAAAAAAATATAAGGGAAGAGAAATTTGAGGTAAGTGAAACAACATGACAAGCCAACAAGTGAATGATTTGTAGTAGAATCTTATGGATGTTATTTAACTTCCCATGGCATTGTTTTCATTACTGAAATGGTTTAAGGTTTTCAGCTGAAGCCAAGTGCTACTGTGTTAGTTCACTCTATGTACCCAGCTTATGCTCTTTAATGTATGCCGATGCATGTTTTTCCTTTTGATTTCTGCAGAGTGTTGAGGAAGCTGAGTGTCAAAGGGCATACGATTTGGCTGCTGATAGATACATGGCTTCTTTTGATCGTTCTAAGCCTCCGGAGGAAGTAAGTATTGCTTTATTTTCTTTGGCATCATTATCTGGCTGCTTCTAATATTTCAATCATGGCAGGGTGCACTAAGAGAAGCCCATGAAGATGCAGCTCAAAAGTCCATGACAGAATTTAATTCTACTGCTGTGGGGGCTGGATCCATCAGGATGAAATATGAGAAGCGTCTCCAAAATTTCATAAAAAAGGCATTTGAGGTTAGTTTTTCCTACGCCATTTACTTCGAATATGGAGCATAAAGTGCATATGAGAAAACAAGCAACATGTTTGTGTCATAATACATTCCTTTGTGGAGGATGAGCTAATTCTAATTTTATTTTGCTTCTGCACCATACGTATCCGCAGTAAAAAAGAAAAAAAGAAATTCACAAGGTTGCTTCTGCATTCAATAACTTCTTTGCTTATACTCCGGAATGGTAAAACGGCTGGTATTAGTGATATTTTCCAATAGGTATGCCAATAGACAACACTGGCTAGGTTCTAGGAAAAGTGTCACAGGGGGGTGGGGGGTGCATGCTGACAATTATTTAGTGAGATTAGGATTTGAATGATAACCAGGGACATGGCTTTCATATTATTGCTTCATTGGAGGTTTTTAAGTTTTTGAACTTAGTAGCATTTTTTTAATGATGTTTTGGCTTTGAGCCATGGATTGGCCCTGGATGAAAACAAAATTCCTCCTGGCTTTCAGGGATGGTTCAGATAATGCTTTCAGATAGAACCATTATCATTTCTCGTTGAGTATGTTAATACGGAGAGCTTTTTCTATTTTTCATAGAAAGGCAGAACCTATTTGCACAAAAGTCAAGCTCTAGAATTTTCATTTGATCTTCTTGTTTTTTGATCGGTAATGTAAGGATATTATTTCTGATGTAAAAATCAGCATTTAGGACATTTGATCTTCATTTAAAGTTGTGAAAAAGAGAAGACGAGAGAAATACTAAATGATTTAGTGAAAACATCCAAGACTATTCTAGGATGATGAAATGAGGAAAAGTTCCTACTTAACAGGATTCTTAATTAATCTGTACAATTGTTCTGTTCTTTGGGTAAGTGTACAATTGTTCTGCTTAGACTGTGGTTATTTGCACTAATAACCCTTGCATTAGGGTAGGCTGCCTACATCACACCACTTGGGGTGCGGCCCTTCTCTGGACCCTGAGTGAGTGTGGGATGCTATTTGCACTGGGCTGGCCTTCAATATTGAATTTCAGTCAACTGCCTGGTTATGAAGTTATTGTAGCTTCTTTCGTCGTATAAGTGACCTGTGGAATAAGGACCTTAATTCCTTCCTTCATTTACGACTTTTTTCTCTGCTAACCAGGTGATATTTGAGTCAAAGTTTAGGCATAGTGTGTTTGGTCCGTTTGTTTCTTCCCAGATAAGTGCCTGTCCTGTGTAGTGTCAGTTCTTATCTGTTTAATATCTGTACACGGGCCATCTGCTCACACGACATTGACTATATATGTTATATGGACTGGCCCGTTGACATTCTAGCTGGGATTTAGTTAAAGGTTTCTGGTCCCTTCAAATGGAATGACTTGTCGACCTAGACAGTTTTGTCAGGATGTTTTTGGGTGCGAGTATCTATGCTATGCTAGTAAATAGCTCTTTTGAATTGTTGAGTATCTATGCTATGCTAGTAAATAGCTCTTTTGAATTGTTGATTCGGTTTTTATGTTGATGCAGGAGCTTAAAAAGGATGCCTTTAGGGAGGCTTATCTACAATGTTCAAATGCGATTCAGGACATGGAAAAGGAACTGAGGATGGCTTGTCATGCTCCTGATGCAAACATAGATGGTGTGCTTAAGGTAAGCCCTTTTCACAATAAATATTAGCCAACCTTTTGTGGCTAAACTGGAATTTAGTTTATTGGTTACCAATGTCCTGGAATGCATATGCCATATGCAGGTTCTTGACTGTTCAGTGTCCAAGTATGAAGCAACTTGCCAAGGTCCTGAAAAGTGGAGAAAATTGAGTGTCTTCTTACAACAAAGGTTTGTATATTAATGATTCTTTGTTGATTCTTTCTTACAACAAAAGTTTGTATATATGTCACATCACATTGATTTTCCAGCTTGGAAGGTCCACTTTTTGATCTCATCAAGAAGCAGATAGACCAGATTGGATCAGAGAAAACCACTCTTGCATTGAAGTGCCGTTCCATCGAGGATAAGATGAATTTACTTAACAAACAACTGGAAGCTAGTGAGAAGTATAAATCTGAGTATTTGAAGCGTTATGAAGATGCCATCAACGACAAGAAGCAGCTTGCAGATGATTACACGAGTCGTATTACAAATTTGCAGAGTAAATATAGTTCATTGGAAGAGAGATATTCCAGCTTATCAAAAACAGTCAGTTCTGCTAAACATGTGTCCGCAGAATGGAAAAGAAAATATGAACAACTTCTATTGAAGCAGAAGGCTGATGAAGACCAATCAACTGCAGAAGTATCTGTTCTGAAGTCCAGAACTGCTGCTGCTGAAGCAAGGCTTGCTGCTGCCAAAGAACAAGCTGAATCGGCTCAGGAGGAGGCTGAGGAGTGGAAACGTAAATATGACATTGCCGTCAAGGAAGTTAAGAATGCTCTTGAGAAGGCAGCATCTGTTCAAGAGCGCGCAAACAAGGAAACCCAACTGAGAGAAGACACTTTAAGAGATGATTTTTCGAGCACTCTGGCTGATAAGGTGAAAATATTGCTATGAATATTGGTTCAATTTCAATGTGCTGCTTTGTTTGATTTTCTTCTCTTCCCTCTTTGAAACATCATTTGTGAGTGTGCTGGGCTGCTTCCTTGGTTTCCAAGATGATATTTAAAGTTCTATTTGTTCATGAAACTGCAGGAAGAAGAAATAAAAGACAAGGCATCTAAGCTTGAGCAGGCTGAGCAGCGTTTAGCGACACTGAATTTGGAGTTGAGGGTGAGTTTCTGCTTTTCTAAACCAATATAACTTGCATTTCACCATCTTATGTATGAAAAAAGGGGTTGGTATGATGGGGCAACATAACAGTCAGAAAGGGGTCTTGTCGTGGGGGGGGTGT